AAAAAAAAAAAAAAAACAAAAAACAAGTAAATTTGGGGCTTCCCTGGTGGCGCAGCGGTTGAGAATCTGCCTGCTAATGCAGGGGACACGGGTTCAAGCCCTGGTCTAGGAGGATCACACATGCCACGGAGCAACTAGGCACGTGAGCCACAACTACTGAGCCTGCACGTCTGGAGCCTGTGCTCCGCAACAAGAGAGGCCGTGATAGTGAGAGGCCTGCGCACCGCGATGAAGAGTGGCCCCCGCTTGCCACAACTAGAGAAAGCCCTCGCACAGAAACGAAGAAAAAAAAAAAAAAGTGATTCCAGTTGAAAATTCTGCAATGATAAAAGGAATAAGTATACAAGAAAGGTGTGTTTGTGCATTTATACAACCACTCATTAGCTATATGAAATCATTATATTTCCTTTTTGAATTAGAAATATGAACTTACCATATATATCCTCAATAACACATAATTTAATATGGGGAAATTGTTCTAAATCCATTATATTGTCCAAATGGAAGTAATTTATAAATCTATACTTTAATACGTTAAAGATGTAAATAGATGGAAAGATATTTTGTGTTAATGAATTGGAAGACAACACAGTAAGGATGTCAAATCTCCCCAGACTGATATATAGGTTTAATACAATTCCTATCAAACTAACAGACAGGGCAGGATAAACAATTTATATTCAACTAGTTTGAATAATTTCAATGGGCTCTAAGTTATAGGGGTGGTAGCTGGTTGCCTGGTACCTGGCCCTGGAATGATTAAGGCAGAGGCATATTGCTTCCTGGGGCACACAGGCAGATAGAGGAGGTAGAGCTCTGGATTGATTAGTTTGCATGTTCTGGGCTGAGTCCTTTGCTATCCTCAAGAATTGGCTAGCCCTGGGAGGGGCAGTCTCTCCCCAGTCACAGCTGCCCCTTCTAGGGCTAGCCAATTCTTTTTTTTTTGTTTTGCGGTACACGGGCCTGTCACTGTTGTGGCCTCTCCCGTTTCGGAGCACAGGCTCCGGACACGCAGGCTCAGCGACCATGGCTCACGGGCCCAGCCGCTCTGCGGCATGTGGGATCTTCCCGGACTGGGGCACGAACCCGTGTCCCCTGCATCGGCAGGCGGACTCTCAACCACTGCGCCACCGGGGAAGCCCTAGGGCTAGCCAATTCTTAAGGGCAGCCATACCTCCTGAATATACATTGTTTACCCTGCTCTGTCTTGCCTTTCTCATGGAAACCCCAATAGTCTGTGGCCTAAACCTATCCCTTGCTCTTGCTTCTGTTTTCTGACCAAAATCTCCTGTGGCCCTGCATGGCATGCCATTCCCCTTATTTCCAGGGGAACTGAGTGACATTATAGGCTCCTTTCAGTGGCATTGAGAGAGAGAGAGGAGGAGAGACTATAAAGGGGTAAAGGGATGTCATGAGGGAGATTTTCATGGAGATAGAATGGTTCTGTATCTTGATTGCAGTGGTGGTTACACAATTCTTCATGTGATGCAATGATGTAGTATTACATGTACACATATTGTATGAGGGTTAAATTCCTGGTTTGATGTTCTAATAATTACCTAAGAAGTAACCACTGGGGAGAAACTGAGTGAAGGGTAACATGACTTCTCTACTATCTTTATGACTTATTTTGAATCTATAATTATTTCAAAAACAGATCATGTCACTATCCTACTGAAAACCTCCTATGGACTCCCAGAGCAGTTAACATAAAATCCAAATTTCTCATCATGACCTACGAAGACTTGTGCCCCAGCCCCCTGTGCCCTGTATCTCACTGCCTTCCACTTTCTTCCTTCAGCCACATTGGCTTTACTTGCTTTCTTCACTAGACCAAGCTCTTTTCAGCCCAGGGGTTTTGGCACATGCTAGTTTCTTTATCAGGAATGCTGTTCCCACCTTTGAACCTGATGAGACTATTCCATCCTGCAGGGGACTGCATGATGTCAGCTTCTGTTTACTCTGCTGTCCATCCTGAAGTTTGTAACTTAATGTCCATTGTCCCTCTTTTACCAACGAGAACACTGAGAAGTGATATTAGCAGGAAATGACAGATCAATATCCCTTACTAATATATCAATAGATAGAAAAATCTTCAACAAAATATTAGAAAACCAAATCCAACATCATTTAAAAATTTATAAAGGATTATACACCACAACCAAGTGGATTTATCCCAGGAATGCAAGAGTGGTTCAGTATAAGAATATCAAGGACTTCCCTGGTGGCGCAGTGGTTAAGAATCTGCCTGCCAATGCAGGGGACATGGGTTCAAGCCCTGGTCCAGGAAGATCCCACATGCTGTGGAGCAACTAAGCCCATGCACCACAACTACTGAGCCTGTGCTCTAGAGCCCACGAGCCACAACTACTGAGCCCATGTGCTGCAACTACTGAAGCCTGAATGCCTAGAGCCGGTGATCCACAACAAGAGAAGCCACTGCAATGAGAAGCCTGTGCACCGCAACAAAGAGTAGCCCCTGCTCGCTGCAACTAGAGAAAGTCCGCGTGCAGCAATGAAGACCCAATGCAGCCAAAAATAAATAAATAAAATAAAATAACATTAAAAAAAGAAAAAATAAAATCAATAGACCACATTAATAAACAGAAAAAAGACATGATAATCTCAACTGACAAAGAAAATGCATTTGATAAAGTCCAACACCTTTTCATAATAACAGTAATAGTAATAAACACTCAGAAAACTAGAGATAGAGGAAAATTTTCTCAATGTGATAAGTGGTATTTACAAGAAAGCAACTGTTAAAATTATACTCGATAGTGAAAGACTGAAAGCTTTCTCCCCAAGATTAGGAACAAGACAAGGATTCCTGCTTTTACTCCTATCATTCAACAATGTACTAGAAGTTTTAGCCAGAAATTAGGCAAGAAAAAGAAACAAAAAGCATTAAATTTGGAAAGGAAAAAGTAAAACTACCTCTATGCACAGGTGACATGATTCTAAATATAGAAAGTATCATAGAATCTACCAGAAAAACTACATGTATTCAGAAAAGTTGCAGGGTACAATATCAACATGCAAAAATCAGTACATTACTGGTGGGAATGTAAAATGGGTCAGCTGCTGTGGAAAAAGAGTTTGGTGGTTCCTCAAAAAGTTAAGCATAGAACTACCACATGGCATATGATTCCATGGCTAGGTATACACCTCAGAGAATTGAAAGCAAGTACTTCAACAAATACTTTCACACAGTGTTAATAGCAGCACTATTCACAATAGCCAAAAGGTAG